GAGAAGGGGGATCTCTTACAGTTTTGTTAGGATAGGAGCAGTCTTCACTGCAGGTATTTCCAATGAAAGCCCCACCGGAGAGAATCTCCTCTGTGGAGATTAGCAGGAGGCCTCATGTCCCGCTGGGATCCATTTCAACATGTTATTAGAAGCCGTCATTCATTGAGCTGCTACACAAAATGCAGCCCATGCCATTGCCAACTGATTGGATACAGCCAATAAATACCATAAAGATTAGGACCAGTCACTATGGACACACTTGCACTTAACTTTAGTGAGGTCGTGTACAGTTGCAGTGGCTTGGTTTAGACTCAAATAAATGTATGAATTACAACCTACAATCACGCTGGTCCACAACAGACTCATCACACGTTGTCTGGTTTTCATCGTTTTTATTGTTGGCGACCACTTTTATAGTGGGTTTATTAACTGTAAATGGTTTATAAATGGTTAAGAAACAATGACTGGTGCTTCGTAGATCAGCTATAAGCCATTAGAGCTAATTCTGGGTTGCCAAGTAATAAGCCTTTATGTCTGCAGCTGAAAGTGTCAATAAGTCTTTAATAAAAGGTTTTAATAATCAAGACTGCAGTGTTAATGAGTTGTATATAAATGTATTTCCTGATTGGACAATCATGTCACGTTTTTTTATTTTTTTTAAATCACTGGTCAAATGTTCTAACGGTACCAATCAAAATGAGTTTTTACAACCTGGCAAACCCAAAAGTTGTCCTTATCATTTAGTAAATGTTTCATCAACCATCAACTAAGCCAACTTAGAAACCCTGTGTGAAGGGCATTGTATTAAAAAAAGGTTTTTTACAATAAAAAAACACAAAATAAAAAACAAACTGACTGCCTTATCAGACAGTGGTAAAAATATTTGAATCTTTGTTCTTTACATTTAATCCTACTGTTTTTTTTACTGGATCATAAATACCTATGTAATACAACGCTGTACGATAGAATCATTATATTCATATCATGTGACTAAGGAAGAAATAATATCAAAGATACAGTATTCCATGTAGTTCACAATGTATTAACATAGTGAAAACAGTATCACGCTTTTAACAAACTCTACGGGCACTTCTCGAAGAGACATCAAATAAAACTATGAGCAAGTAATAGCACATTCTTTCAGATGCTATGACCACATCAGGTACAACTACCAGCTGGCTCTCCTGTAAAACATGTATGAGGGTCGAATGGACCCCATTCTAAATGTTTCACTGTGGCACGACATTATAGCTCCGATAGGCCCACTTCAGAGACAAAGACCACTCGCCTTTCTATGAGGGGGGATGTTGGATCACAGCCAAGTTGAACATCCCCACCTGCATCATTAGCCTGTGCAGCAGCATGGCATGTAACACATTGGAGCGTTTAGTTTAAGTGATACTATCCAAAAATGTGAGTATTACATTATGCGAGTCTCATGTAACATGGGGCGATTTTCACTTTGCACTGTATTTCAAGTAATAATGCCTTTAACAGACTAAAGCTGAGGTTTAATATGCAGGTTCTGTACAACAGACCGTCTTCATCTGCTGCATTACATTCACTTTACACAACAGAAATTTGATTTAGGAATCAGGTGCTCAATTCTGTCAAACTTTAGGTGGTTGGACGGAAAGCCAAGCATGTACTGTGTGTCTATAAACCTTACAGCAGGTCGACCAGTATAATCTGTAGCGCACAGCAGAAAGGGGAAGGCCCCCGTCAAATGAAATGGCTGACTCTCATGGCCTTGGGCCACTGTAGTCAGACAGAGATGAGCTAGAAAAGCACTTCCGCTCTGATTAGATATTCATCAGTCAGAGGAATTCAATTCTTCCTCTCAGGCCGCAGAGCTTCCAACCCATACAATTAAGGAATCTTTGTCTGCTGAAGGATGAACAGAAGGATTTTGTATTTTGGAGGATTTGTGTGTGTTCTACAATAGTCCCCAGAACCACTCAGTCCTGTCTTGTCTCAACCTGAAACCTGGCAGGTTGTGACTGTGCAGAGAAGGGTAATACATTCCAAGCATACCATGGGGTCAGGGGACTGGAAGAGCCAATAGGTGGGCCAGCTGACTACCCAGGCCCTCCTCCTCGCTGCAACAGAGAACAAAAAAAAGCCCTCTCGGGAAAAATAATAAATGGGTGATTCAAAGAGAAGGGTGAAGTGGAAAAGTGAATGCCCCGTACAAATTGGTCTCAGGTAGCTTTTAGATCATTCAGGTGCAGCCCTTCCCCAAGAAGAAGCAATGTTGGCCCAGTAATTGGTCATGCACCCCCTAAGGAAAAACTTTATTGCACTCGCTTTATGGCAGAACAGGGAGTGGAGGCCCTCTGTGTTGACTTTTATCCTGGACTCTGTTTTCTTATGTATGTGCAAAGAATTCAAACATCGTACATGTCATGACTGGTTTAAATTCCCAGTTCTTGCATTTTTCAAATATGCACACACTAGCTTGCACCAACGATGAGGAAACATGTGACAAAACAGCTCTGTGGTGCGATGAGACAGATACGGGGCCACAAAAGAGGCCAAACAGCACTGTAAAACCAGCCCAAGTCAAACTCAGTAACACCATCAGCACATTGCGATGTGTCTTCACAGAATCACAGAGTACGTACACAGTACCGGAGGACTCTTTACTCAGTGCTGGCTCCAAAGACAAATGGCCGTTTGAGATGGAAGACGCACAAATATTGTTGAGAAATTCAACACTTAAAGTGAGATTTTGGTTGCTTTTGAATCACAGGTCAAAGTCACATTGAGGCTGGAAGTTTCAGAGCTTTTTGTAATATTTTCTAGATTCTCCTTCAAATTCAGAAAGAGAACAAGCTGACATATGGCACCAAAACACAACATGAGGCAAGCAAATACAGCAGCTCTGAATTGAATTGCTGACATCATTGACATATTTTTTTTGCTTTAGCTTATGTCAAGCTTGCAGAGACGACAAGACAACGTGACACTTGTGGTCTTTAGCACACGTTTACCATTTACAATTTGCACCTCCATTGTTGTGTGACGTCAGACAACTGCTTCTTTGTGAAGTCGAGGACATGGATTTAACTCGAGTTTACAAATAGAAACTCAGACTTTTGAGTGGCATTTCGTTGCACTTTTTCTAGGAGGTCGAAATGTTTGAGTTCTGAGGTGTCAGGAAAGCAGCATTAGAGATGCTGGTAGATGGATTTTGATGTCAGACAGGGTCAGCTAGCTGTTCCCTGTTTCCAGTCTTTGTACTAAACTAAGATAAGTGGCTTGTGAGTTGTATTGATCTTCTCGCCTAACTATCACTAAGAAAGTACTTCCCTAATATTTATTATACCTTTCCTTATAAACTTAATCTAGGGGCATGTTTGCAGCATTTATTACTGAAATGAATCCTTAATTACTAAATTAAAAGCTGCAATGTAGAATTGAGCACACATTTACTTACATATAGCAGCGGACTGATGAGACTTTTTACAGCCTCCTTGTCCCCACGGGCCTCCAGCCTCTTTGCCACGGCCATGTGGTCCCCTTCTAGGGTTGCGGTCTGAGGACAGTGAGACCATCCCTCTGGGGACAGGGCCAAGATGGCACATTGATCAAGTGTCAACTGGACACACTGCAATCTATTCTATGAACTAGGGGATGTTTCTGCAGAGATTCGGTAGATAAACTGAGTTCACCCTCACTTCAATAGTGACGACACAGAGGAAGTGGGCCCTGCTTTGCAATTTTCTTCAAACACAGACACAGACAACAGCCAGCTATGGTCACGCTGTGTGATCACAGATGCGGAAGGATGAGGGGGCCACCGTAATTGGCCGAGGGAAATCCTACACTAAACAATGATACAGTTTGAGGATCTTTCATTTAAGAAGATGCATATAAAGAAAGATGTGTCACATAGATTATTTTGCAGTGAACATCAACTATTGCTAAAAACAAGAAGCATGTACTTTTATGTAAATCCTCCCAAACTCTGTTAACTCCACAAGAGCATTTATGTCCCTGTAATAACAACCTACAAGTGTTACAGCCCAATGAACACCTTTATTGCGAAACACAATCCCGCTTGTGTCTCAGCTGAATGTAATAGCACCGGTGTAGGTGGACAGAAAGTAGAGCAGGCTATGTCATGGCTTCCTGTGTATGCCTTAATGAATATGTACTGAAGTCGACCCAGAAGTGACAAATATGGGAACCCATAAACTGATCCCCCTCTTGCTGTGACCTTAAAAGACGTCTTCGGCTTGTATATTGAACTCCAGGCGAGCCCCAGATTGTAGTTGCTGAGTCTGTGCTCACCTGGCTCAGCTGTTTCGCCTGCAGATACAGTTTCTCACAAAGAACAGGAATTATAGCATTTACAATTTAGTCAATTGTGCATTTTCAACCATAGGATTGAGTTAAAATTGGAGAATTGCACTTGCAGCAATCGGACGATTAAAGGTATTAGATTTACGTGACAGACAGAAAAATCAAAAGGAGAAATTGTGTGTTAAAGAGATTTATTAATTAATATATGTTTTATATTCCTCAGATCCCTGCTTGATGCTATGTTGACTGAAATACAAACATGTTTTCTGACCCAGGTACCAACTTCCGCCGCACATCCAATTACAAGACTTTCATCAAATAAGACAGGGGCACAAACATGGCACCGTTCTTCTAAAAAAATGTCTTACGGCCTAAACAGGCTCCTTAATCCGCTCCGCTGCCGTTTAACAGGTGACTGCCTTGAGAGGAACTACTTCGCGTGTAGAAAAAAGGGAAGTGTGCGATGCAAGAAACCCATTTAACCATGAAGCGCCGTTTATAAACGTGACACAGGTGTTAAACGCAATATACCGCGGGTATATTAATCGCAGTATGTGAGCGCAATACGTTAGACGAATAAATGATTGTTTTATCGCCACCTGGTCTGAAGCAGGTGCGTAATCTGCGTATTTTAACCTCAACAGGAGAAAGAAGTGGAGTATTTTCTTCGACATGCACAGCTGAGAACTTACAGGTACTTTCTGGAGCCCTCCGTCTGTTGATGCAGAGCTACGGAGAATCCAAAGAAGCTCCCTTTGGTCTGTCCCTCTTTGATAACAGGAAACCGTTCATCTATGTTAAATCCGCTGCAGGTTTGCGTCCCGTGGTACACAACCAAAACGACGCAGACGAATAGTCTGGGAGACATGTTTGGGCTGTTATTGCCTCGCAAGAGCAGTGGGTTTCCTTACAGATCCACGATCAGCGTGGGTCCGGTACGGCAGTCTCCCGCAATGAGCTCCAACAGGTAGGCTGCGCTTCACAGAGACCTGCCCATTGAGAGCCGGCTGTCCCCCCCTCGCGCTCAGTGTGACTGCCTATAGGTGTCGGTGTCTGCCTCCCTCTGCCGCCCTCCCCCCGCTGCTCCCCCCTCCCTTCCTTCCTTTCTGCCTTCAACACACATTTGAAACAAGTGCACTAGGTGCATTCACACACAGCAGAGTGCGGTTAGCTGTGTAAAAACCTCAGTGTCTCGCTGATTTACACCCCCTCCCTGTCTCGGTTACTCTCTCTCGCACGTTTTTCCGCCTGTCTCGCCTGTCAAAGATAAAAGACTGAATTGCACTTTTCAGAAACAAATAGCTTGGTGCCTGTGTAATATACAGTTCATGAATGTGACTTTCGTTTTCATTAATGCATTTGTAAAACGTTCATACAATACAACAATATTTTGATCAATACCTCTATCAACACTCATTTAAATTTATTTTTAATTAAAGTTACGCATTAAAAACATTTTTTTTTTTATGAGATTGTAATCTGATTCTAATCAACAATTAAATGAGTTTATTAATAAATTACTTTCTGTGTTTTATTTCCCTTTTGGGTGCATGAAAGGAAGTCACAAAAGACCAAAGTTCCAAATGCACATTGGATATTACATGTGAGTTAGTGGAAGGGCTTACTCAAACATCAGGACCGTATCATCATTCTAAATGTTTATGAAATGATTCTGTTGCCTGAAGTTTTTGAATTTATCACCTGCAAGAAAGAGCATACAAACGCCTTTTCAAGCTGGTTAACTATACATATTAAATGTATGTAATGCATTAGCTCACCACATGCTATTTTGTGTAGGAGGGACTACTATATTATGAGTCAAGCCTCCTGTCAATACTCCTCCAACCCAACTAATAGACGAATGGCCTGCCCTCACATGAGCACTCTTGTAACAGCCACCCCCTGCCTCACTCTGCTGCCTTTCGCTCAAACTTGTGGCTTCCAATAGGCAATTCATTCATTAAACCCTTAATCCCCTTAGAGAGTTCACGGAACAAGCCAGAGTTTTTTTTAAAGCATCCTTTCACCTTTGCATGAATCCCCCTCCACCCACTTTCCCCCCATTTTTTTTTGGGCTGTCTCTCGTAGGAACCCCCTGGTGTCGAGAGACCAGCTGCAGCTCCATCTCCTCTCCGTTTGCTTGTGTCTTCACAGCAATGTGCGATCTTTCATCGTCTCTGCTTTATTGTCTGACTCCTGGCTTACATCTGGCATCGCTGACCTCCTCTAATTGATGAGCCGAGCTCCCACTCTGCATCTCCTCATGGTCCAGGAGTTTCTCTCACCCAGAGGTAATCTCTCCTCCATTCCCGAGTGGAATAACGTGGGCAATGGAGTTCACTGTGCACATTCCACTGGCCGACATGTGAAAGCCTTTCTGTGTGCCTTAAGAAACACGTATTTAGAGGTGTTGATATTCTTTACTGCTTTCATTTCAGGTGTTCACAGGTATTTGTGTGCCTGCTCTGTGTCAAACAGGAAAACCATATATTATATCACTTTTTCCACCACACGTGACTTCCCCTTTGATACCAGGAAACAAGAAGTATGTAACAAAACAGAGAAAACACATTACAAGCAACAGGTTAAACGTGCAATGTGTAAGTTGTAGCAACATGCTCCAAATGAGTAGGGGGGGTCAGTATTTCACCTACTTGGTGCATATGATCTAAATTTACAGTCATCAGCTAAAAAAAAACAAAAACTACTAACTAATAGCAAAAATATGTCAAATTCAACCAAACTGCAGAAAATAATGGTCAAAACGGTCAAAAACACAACATTGCTATCTATAATCTTCACGCGTGGCGTCGGCCTATAGTTTACATTCACCATCTGTGTGTACACAAACGGGTGGCTGTACGGTCCGTGTACATTCTGATAGTTGGTTTGTAGACTAAATCCAAACTGGCAGAAACAAGTAATTGACCCGGACCTTTGTCTCGTCCTCCCCGCAGCCAGGAGCCCACCCTCTGGGACCAGCTCTGGGAGAAGGATGCCCAGTCAGAAGCTGCACCAATTAGAATCCAGCCAGCACAAACCCCAGCACCATGGACTCACAGCAGGCTAGTGGAGCGCCGGGTCTAACCCGTGTAACGGCAGCGGCAGAGAGTTTACTGATCCGGCGGTGAGTCGGGGCTAATCGGTTAGGAGGCTCATTTCAGTGGATATCTCTGCAACACAACACAGACTTCATTGAATACAATTATAACCTCTTCACATTCTGTTGATAATGTTAGTTCATGTTTTGAACGTTTTAAACTAAAATTCTGGTCATCTCTGGCACCTTTTAAGGTGGCCTTCGAGGATTGCAATGCAACACTCATTGTCTCAGTTGAAGGTCACATCTCCGCCTGTCACTTTAACAAGCCTGGCCTGTGCATTCAAAGGTGAGCGTACAACGTGCCAGTGTATACAGTGTCAACATCCTGTAGTTGCCTTATCAGGACATGCATCTGGCACGGCACTGACGTGGAACAGATCCATGCGATCGAGACCCAGCTTGACTGCCCTGACTCTACACAAGACAAACGTCCTGAGAGAGGTATTAGCAGAGAGGAATTTAAGGCAACCAAAGAGCAACCGACAAGCAATCTGAACTCCCCCTTTTTTTTTTTTTGCTCAATGTGATCAATTCCCAAGCAAAAGGGCTAGAGAGCACCTGATCCTTGCCCCCTCTGGGTCTTAGACCCCCACCCGTTTGACATCTGAAAGTGACAGCTGATACTGAGTTATGTGTTATTGCACTGACAGGTAACTGTTGATTACTCTATACTCGTGCTAGAGTTGCCTAGTGATGAAAATTCAAAATGTTCAGAAAGCTGTATCTGATCTTTTTTTTTCTCCACAAGAGCAGTTCACTTTCTGTCTCTGCCCAGCGATACAGTAGAAGAAAAAAAAAAGTTCCAGCCTTTAAATGTGTATTCCCCAGACCCGACTGTAAGCCTACACCAGTCTCTGTGAACCACGAGGACAAAGACCCGAATGCAGTCGCTGCTGCCCCCAGAGTCCTCTGCTCTACAACCCCCCATTCTTAACCCACACAACACACATGGAATGTAATTAGCAATTTATCTCCCGGTTTGTTTCCTCACCATACCGTCCCAGAAAAAAAACAACTGATTTCCCCCCGCTTCATTCCCCTTCTCATTATGTTTTTCCTTCTGCCTCATAATATCCATTTTATTGAGGAGGTTAAGCCTACGCACTCAGAACATCTTCCCACTCAACTTTTCTGCCGTTTTGTGGTTTATCGTATGTCCTGAATGGCTCCACAGAGTCCTCTCAAGGCATCCTTTGAAACAGTGCTGAGGGCTGATGGGACAGGGTGGGTGAGTGAGTGGGCTGCTATGTGGAGTTCCTGATGTGAATGTGTGATAACAGAAATGGACTGGCTGTTGCAGCAGAGCAAATGCAAAGACTGAGTGCATCAGTATGCTCCATAATAGTCCCATTACACTTATCTCTGGTTACTGTACTTACTCAGTAGGCTTTCTGTCTGCAACATTTTGGAATAGACTTAAGAAACCAATGTGAGGACTACAGAAACAGCCTCGTGAACATGGAAATATACAAGATATTAAAAAGAAAAATGTCAGTGGCCTCAAAATAACTAGATGTCAGCCTTGTGTTGAACTCCCATGAATAATTATCCAGTTTTACGAGACTGTGGAGCGTAACACCCAGCGCAGGACATTGGTTGAATATGAAACACAGCACGCTCTCTCACACCGAGCCCTCGCTGCACCGCGACGACAGAGCCGGCCGTTGCCATGGGGCTGGGAGTTGCTATGAAGCCAGTATGTTGTAGCGTCAGTGGAGGAAGACAGTGTGGTCTGTTTAAAGTCCAGCCAGGAGCCTTGCAGGGTTCAGATGACCTTTCGTGGGAATAAAACATGATCTCCTCGGCCTTGTCCACTAAACCAGGAATTTACCACAGAAACATACGCGCATTGATGCAGACGCCCGCTGCACATGCGCACAGTAACACCAATAATACGCAGCTTTATAACAAATGCCTCATTTTTGTGCCACTGTGCATTAGCTGTTTCTTGGCACTTGGCTAAACTGCAGAATATCAAGTGAACTTCGAAAGACAGAGAACACATTTTCCTGCCGTAGCTTTAACTCTCTGGCATGAAATCTAATTTCAGAACAAAACATGAGCAGAATCTAATAATATGTAATTTTGTTTCATATAGCAAGCTTTCGCCTGAATAATCCAGCTGTCTGTTTCCACAGAAAGAGATTAGAGTCAGAATGGTGTTAATGCAGGACAGTCCACAGAGAAGGGACACTTGAATGATCCACATCTTGCCTAACAAATGTCCACAACAGCAGGGAAACAACTGATGCCGGCTTATCTACCAATCGGTTTTGGTATGAAGGGAGGGATGATACACTGTAAAATATTCCAAAACACCACAATGTGTCTTGTTTTTCATGAACTACAAACTCATTTTAAACAAATCTTGGGATTCAACTAATACAGGATGGACCTTCCATTACCACTGCCCCCATTGGACCACATATGTTATACTGTATGTTCGCACTATATGTCTAATATGGGACAACTGGTTGTCTGTGAGTATACGTACACATTTGTTCATCTGCGTGCGGGGGCCGTGTGTCAGCATCCACATGTGCGTGTCCTCTGAGTGTTTGGTGTATGTGTGGCAGGAAGGAAATGCAGCAGGGGTTTGGGACCCACACAAGGCTGTTCCTCGGGTCTCCAGTTCGTGCTAAGTGTAGGAATGTATACCCTCAGGAGGAAGGCGTGGCTCCGAAAAACTCTCCCACTGTCCATTGGCACCTGTTTTTCAGCTTAGCTTTCAGGCAGACAGAGGCAGAGCGTTGGGAGACAGCAGGACATATTCGCTGTGTTGTGGAAACAAAACAGCTGTTACACAAACCCATGTCATGAATACAATACTCCCGGCATAACAATGAACCCACTGGTTTGTCTTTCTTTCTGTTCATGGAGTAGTTTGACATTTTGGAAATAAGCTTATATGATTACTAG